GAGCTAAATCGATCAGTATTCATTAGGTAATCGATAGCCATTCAAATTTACTTGAATTAAATAAATACATAAAATACACTTTCACGGCAATATGGAACAATTCAATCACATACACATTATGTAATATGTATGTATAAATATTTTAATAAATTAAATGCTATCAATTCTTTGCAATAAACAGTACAAATGTGACATTGGGTATTGCATCATTAAATTTACAGTAAGTTCTATTTATAAATGGTAAACTTGTATTCTTTTTCATTTACGTGTAGTACTCTAAATAAACATGGCTAGAAAGCAAGGAAGCATTGTTTTACATTAGAACAGCCTCTCATACATCAGTCTAAACATTCGTACTTACACCCGCGTCCGTATATAATTACACGTACATGCATATTCTCGATTCGTTTGATACAAATAAAAAAATTAAAATAAAAATATAATTGATTGTACGAGAACATAGATGAACACATGGAGATATAAATTTTGATTTATTCTTACTCAGCTCATTGAATCTTATTGTTTCGTAGGGAGAGTGAAAGTAAGAGCGATTGAAAGACATTTGAAAATCCAACCCACTCAGCTTAAAGTCTTTATATTATGTATTATTTATTATTTATATGTCGCAATTATGTTTATAAGGTCACAATTTTGAATTATTTATAAATCCTATACTTGTTTAAGTATTTAGTTGTTAGTACAAGAGGTAAGTATAAGAATTTAAAGGTCTCGCATATAGATGGGAAATGTTTAAAAAGTGAATTTGGTGAATGAAATTGGTTTGGAGAAGGTAGTAAGTAATCGTCTTCAGCTAGTCCTAATTTTTCTATTTGAAATATCTTAACACATCTTAACTTTTCGAATATTTATTATCATTGCGCTCTGTAATAACTCGGCAAAGGATTAACGGAAAAGCAGTAATGATAGGCCGAGAGGTCAGGTCTAATAAACTATACGGCATGACAATAATTTTTCGCCTCACCATTAATTTGTTAACACAGCGCACGTAGACGGAGGGAGCTACCAGAGGTTTACTTAGAAATGTAAAACAAAGTCTGGGCCGGGTGACGTGAAAGCCGAACGGAGCGTGAGAGAAACACCGACAGCCCTACGGCTGCATGCTTAAAAAATCACTCAAGTTCAAGAGAGAGAGAGAGAGAGAGAGAGAGAGAGAGAAAGAGAAAGAGTCGCCCTTGTATCGGAGAAAAATCGCGGTGTTATAGAGGCCCCGGGCCGACGCCCAAGAATATTCCACAGAGAGCCCTTGGCGATTCCGCCCCCACTTCGTGACCCAAAGACCGGCGCCGTCAGCAGTGGTCGAGTAAACTGGCCGCGGGCAGGGGGAGTGAGTAGGGGAGTACGTGCTAGTCACGTCCGTGGCGGCTGGAGGAGGGAGGGGAGATTCGAGGAGTGATGGAGCGAGCGAGCAAGCGAGCGTCTGTCCCGTTAGAGGACCTACAAGTTCTCGCTTCGAGAATCGACTCACGGATCGACGCACGGAGGCACGTAAGACGAGGAGGATGATGCCGCCGGGGAATCTCAGCACCAGAGGCCGGAGCGAGGGAGAGACAGAGAGATAGAGAGAGAGAGAGGGAGATCGCGGTTTGAAGAGACAGTGTGTTTTAGATGCCCGTGCGCCGGCTTTCACGGGCGTTTTCTTCTCCGGCGGCAAGTGCGGCATTAGGAAGAGAAGACAATGAGGATCGCGAGGCGGCTGATTAATGTTCCGAGCATACTTTCGACATTTATTTAGCTTCTCCCGAGTCTTGATGAGAGCATTTATTTACTCTTAGGGATTCGGGTGTCGAGTTCGTTTCAGCTGCGAGGCGAATTTTTGGAGATTCTTTTAAACTGCGCCCTTCTACCATTCCAAGAGCCCATAATTCTATATAAGAGCGAAGCAAGCCTTCCTTTAAATGTAAACATTCGAATGTAAAATTTGAAAGACAACGCTTTTATTTAGTAACGATATTTTTTAGTTCAATGCATTCGAAGAATTTGCTAGACATTGTTTATATGTCGCCTAAGCTTCGAGACAAGACTACGAGAGAGAGAGAGAGAGAGAGAAAATTATAATTTTTAGATAATTACAAATTTCAAGCATCTTTTCTTGAATTTAAGCAATTTAATAGATGATTTTTATCATGTATGAATCTTTTTAGTTTCATGTTAGTCTGAAATGCGAACCAATTTTACATTGAATTATTCAATTGCCTTGCATTGTACATTTACATTTCTATTTACTTGTCAAACAATATATTCAAGAACAAAACAAAACCGTCATCTTATGATTATAGACTTCTTAGAATATTTCGTACACTTGGGGAAAACGTAGTCAGGGTGGATGGGCGGTACGGGTGGGGTGAGGTATGGGGAAATATAGGACTAAGGTAAAGAATTATGGTGGAAAGGAACTGAAGTACAAACCAGAAGCGCGAAAGAAACGGTGCGGTAGACGCGCAACGGCGGCGAGGGAGAAGGGAGCAAGAGTGAGATAGTAAGAGAAAGAGAAGGACCAAACCAATGGAGCGAGTCGAGCCGATCGGCACTTTTCTTGCGCAAAGCATCGAGTACGTTCGAGGTTTTACTCATATAGGAGGATCGCATTTGAAAGAACCGCTCGAAAAGTTCGCTCTCAATTCAGTATTTACTTAGATAAAAATGCAATTTTCTTTTGTTATTACTTGTAAGATAAAGACAGTTACTCTTTTGTGATTAATAGTAAGTTTTTTTTTTTTTTCACGTGTATAGTGCAGTTTTAGTGTTATAATTTTAATATTATATAATATTAATTGTGTATTTTGTGTGCATGTGTGCGTGCGCGTGAGTGCGTGTGCATTCAGAATGTTGTATTCTACTTAATTTAGATAGATGATTTACACTTGGAATGCTATTAAAAATATCACGTGCATATTTTCCGTCGATATACAAATAACATTTAAAAATAATCTGCACATAATAATTATGAAGTTAAATTATATAGAATTTATATGTTAAACAGTCAATGATTCTTTGCTTGCGTGTCTATATTGTGGCTTCAAAATGCGAATGTACAATATAAAGGAAAACCTAAAACTTGATAAAATTGTAATTTCAAAAAAAAAAAAAAAAAAAAAAAAAATTGTACTTTTTCTTATAGCAAATCTTACATAATAGAAATATGAAAAATATATAATCTCTTCTTTTGCAGAGATTGCTGAATTTAGGCAGTTTTTGGTTTTTGAAATATATCTTAAAATATCGAAATTATTTAAATTTTTTTAGATACTTCGATTATAAATTTAAATTTATAATAAACATATAACAATTACAGTTACATAAACTAGATTAACGAATGCGTTAAAAAAATACGTTTCGTAAAGTATTAGCTGAAAAAAATTACGAAATGAATGAAATAAAACTTAATTTTTATAATAACATTATCCAATGACATCAATAAAATTATAATAGATAAAATGATACGACGTGATTATTGTGAAATCCATTTTTACCGTAGAATTCATGGAATCGGGTTAATTCGTATTAAGTCCAGCTCACTACTTTCTTTGATAAGCACCAACATTTTGACGATCAGAGAGGAAAAACAGCACCAGGGTTATAATACGTAAATTAGGGCAGTTACGGTAATGTTTGCTTTTCATATTAATTATAAGCGTTAATTCCCACTTGTGCGAGTGATTATTCGTGCATGGAATCAAGAGAATATCTTGATGAAATGCTTCCTGCCAGTGCGAGGGCGTACGTTTGTCGACTTGATGCCAAATGAAAATAAAGTACAAAACAGAGGCGTCATGTACTATGTGGGTAAATACGCGGGAGAAATTTATTTCGTTAAATTAGGGCTGGTTACAAAGCAAATAAGTGGAATCTTTTTTACTAATGAATGGAGTGATTCAATCACAAGGTAAAATAATGAGTATTCGTTCTTCTTGCTATGGAAATTCTGTCATTTTTTAATTTAACAAATTTTAACTCTTTCTCTAGTACTCGTTATTATTTCTTAAAGTGATGGATAAGTTTGTAAAATATAGACTTTGTAGCATTTTTAATATGGAATATGTAATATGGAATATGGAATATTTAATATAAATACGAATTCTGATATACCACTGTATTAATACATAGTTTAATTGTGAATAATTACGTTCATTATATTAATTGGATTGTTTTTTGTTTTGTTGTATTATCAATAAGCTATTATTATAATCGACAGTATGAAATTACCGTTAATTTTAAAAGATTTTAGGAATCTGATATAAATTTATTCAGAATATATCAATGAATTATACATAATAATTATAATACATATATTCAGTTTTAAAAATGTCTACTAAAAGTTATATATATATATATATTTTTTTTTTCTTTTATTATAGAATAATTAGGTTAGGACACTAGTATTGAGAGTATAGTAGAAATAAATTTATTATTTATAGATATTGAAGGAAATTTTACAGTTTGAACAATGATTTTATTAGAAATTAAAATTAACCACTTATATGTAATTATTATACAACTTTTAGATTTTTTAATAATAACAATTATCTTATATTGAAATATTAATTTATTTTACACACGAAATTAATAAACGTATTTTCGATTTATTTCCAATTTTTTACCAAATTCGTATTATTACATGTTTTTCTTTATTCTTTAATATGCGTAATCATGGTATAATTATTTATATGATAAATCTTCAATCATCTATCTTAATTGATATGCAAAAAAAAAAAAAAAAAAAAAAAAAAAAAAAAAAAACTAAAGCACCTTTTCTATTACAGAAAGCGAATAGATTTTCAAATTTAATTTATTTCTTTATATTCCTAATCCTTGTATAATATGAAACATATTAGCCCCTAGTACAAATGCATATAAGTATTTTACATTTATTTGACATCATTAGTTGTACTGAACCAATTTTATTATAATGACGATAGTCGTATTTTCGATTTATATAATATTAGATAAGGAATTTATGAAATTCTTATTTTTGTTTTTAGGTTTCAGAAAAAACTAGTCAAATCTGCATAAAATTTTTTGGAACACTTTGTCATCATGGGACGGACTGGATACACGTGTATTAGACACATCTTCTGCTCACTTAATGTCCTCATCTGGGTCAGTATGCACACGACTATAAAGTATTTAAGAGAATTTGTGTCTTATATTAATTATGTCGATTAAACATTTTTTACTCATCGTGAATAATTAATTATGTAAGAAGGTTGGCCATGGTATCAAGTGTTTTTTACTTTTTAAATTAATACACGGAAGCTTTTAAATATAAAATTGACTCGAATATCAGTGATTTAGATATTTTAATTCCTTATGCATACGTAGATATTGTAAAATTATTTAATGTATATACGCATAGACTATCTGCTCCAACAAATCAATACAATATTACGTATTATACAATATATAATTACGTTTTGTAATTAGTTACGATTTAACGATTTATAATAATAGTAAGATAAATAAAGTTTCATTTTAATAAAAGTATAATTTAAGAACTCTCTTTAATGTATTCCGTATAGTAATGTCATTGTCATTAAGAAAGTTATGAATGATTTATTTAAATATCGTTTGTAAGATGTACACAAGTTTAACTGTTTCATGCGATATGCATGAATAAAAGAATTTATCATAAATCCATTAAAATTAACATAAATATTGTAGCTTCGTGTATCGACAAAAAAATATACGAATGCAGATAGAAATATTTTTAAAATGAAAAAAATGAAGGTAATATAGTACGTAATATGACAATTTATAGGAAAATTTTAGTATAAAAAAAAATTCATATTTAATTACTCTTTAGTCTCTCTCAAGGTCAGATCATGAAAATACGGCTAACTGTGAAAAGTATATAAAAACAAAACAAACAGAAGTTTTTAGTCGTATGTAAATGCTTATTTTCTTAGAAACTAATACAAAAATCTTATACACGGACTTCAATGCTTATACATAGAAATTACTTACTTATATTTTTATATATTTCTTTTGAATAAGGAATAGAATATGTATGTAATTTTAAAAGTAGTAATATCAACTGAAAATTATGTTTTTGTCTTACGATGCATAGGAAAAATTAAAATTTACATTTGTCAAAAGAAATAATTTTAATGATTTAAGAGAATATAGAAGAATATATAAACTTGATATTATTAAAATTATTATGCATTTAGATATTTTAGTAATTGTTTCAAATATATTATTTTATAACTTATTTAATATAAACATTTTTAATAATGAGAATTTTATAATTGACTACCCGATGAGCAAATGGAAAAATTTTTAAACCATTAATATTTAAATAAATATTTCAAATAAGTTCCCGTATTTTTTACGTACAATTTTTATTTCTTATTCAACTAATTCTTTTCAACTAAACGAGTCATCGACATTTTGAGTACCGTATGATTAGCCTTTTCACGGAGCATTATGATTTTACCGCGAAATGTACGTTAGAAATTGCGAGCAATGCAAATTAGAAGTAGGAGAGTATAGTTGATTTTTTTCTTTTATGCTCTGAATAGATATTCAAATTGTAAGTACAGGTTTGGAATTATTAGAAAGTAATAATATCGAATACATTTAATTATAAGCAGATATATAAGATTTATAGAAGATTTTGGAAAAGTCACGAGTAATTCGATATTACATACGCAATTAAAAGAAAATGTATTATTGTGTTCTTGAATATATATATATATATATATATATATATATATATGGTGTCATTAAAATAGTACTTTACACTTAATTTACTTGCATAATAATTTTATATTTAAGTAAGCAAATTTGTAAATGTAGTGAAACTTCTTTAATTCGAACGTCATTTTTTAGCTTTGGTTTGGAATTGAGAACTTATTAATTTAAGACTTGTGCATTTAGATAATTATAATGACAAAGTGACATAAACTAATTAATTTTAATTATTATTCTTTATTCGAATAAAATATTGATATTAGCAGTTGATGATTTTGCTAATAATCTTCAATGTTATTAGTATTACTGTTGAATAACAGTTTCGATCGATACTTGTTTACTTAAAGATCCTAATTCTAATATTTTCAATAGCACAGCGATTTGATATCAATTTCACTACGTATAGTCTATTTTTATTCGCAATAAGTAACTAACTTAGTCAAGAGATGAGTTTATAAATTTTTATAAAATAGTAGAGTTAATACAAAATTAAAGCTACAAATGCCGTTCTATTGTGAGATCAACGTTTGCCTATCAGGATCTGCAATCAGCCAATACGTCTTCAAACATTAATATTCATTTTACAATAGTAGCTGTTAGACATTCTTATATATGTTTGAAGAATTTACAAGTAAATATATTTATTGCCTTTAAAACGATAATAATTTATCCCTAATTGGACGATAAATGCTTTATAAATTGGAGAAGGTGTCAAAAATGAAACCAAATCAATGCTAACTAAATTCATTTTTATAGCTGAGAGAAAATATTGAGAAGAGTATTGTAGAAATCTACAATTAACTATCATATACTTAATAGCCAATAATAGGCTAGGTTCACGCGTTACTGCGCTAGCTAATAATTACATTTAAATAACGTT